AAAAAAAGTAATAAAAGAAAACAAACAAGATGATTGTAAAGTTGTATTCACAATATCAAAAAATTTTTCTGTGATTGGGATATATCCACGGAGTGTTGATAATGTAGAGAATGAATGACATATTGTAACTATAATATCATGTACAATTACTTTTAATAACTCTTGAACTTTAATTTTTTTCATTGAACCAACAAAACATGCCATTAATACGGGTAATATATCTCTAAAACCTTTGTAACATAAAAACTCAATAACATCTTTTCTATTTGTTAATATAGAAAATTTATTACTACATAATTGACTAATTAATAAACTTTTATCACTATTTTGATTGACAAAAGAAACCATTGCAATAGAAGCAAGTTTTTGAATATCTCTTAGATTAATACAAGTTGTTTCTAATGGTAATTTATCATTTTCTTCTTTAATAAAAACATATCCAGTAAGTTCTTTAGTTAATTCATATATCATGTCAACAATTTCTTTTCTCCATTGTTCAATAACATCAATTTGTGTAAATCCAGGTAATGTTTCTAATAACCCATTAATAAGGAATTGTTTAAAACGATCACTTGATGCTCTCATTGAATAAAATAATGCATTACAATTTGTTGGTTTGATAATAAGATTATGTCCAAGAATTCTTTCACAATTAAAAACTAATAAATTTTGTTTAAATAAAGAACCAAAATGAAGTAAAATTGGAATAACTCTTTGTATTGTTATTTCATCAATTTTATCTTCTTCTAATGAATAATTTTTATTAAGATAAATACATTTAATAAATTCTGTTATTGCTTGATGAATATAACAAATTTCTTCATTATCTCCTTTAATTTTAAAAATAAATGGTTGAAAATCTCCTGTTGGTGTAATTTGAGCGACATCAAGTCCCAAAGAAGAAATTGATGATAAATTTCTTTTAATTCCATCATTGATATAATTTATTTGTTTTTTATCAAATAACTCTTTAAAATAATCTGAAAAGAGATAAAATAAAATTCTGCTAAATCCAATTCGTTCTACTTCATTTCCTTCTTTTGTTATAATGAAATATCCATCAAAGAATTTTGAATTTTGTAAATTTAAAATATCATTAATAATATTTTCTGAAGATGGACTATACATTCCATCAATATCTTTTAATTGTTTATTGTCATTTGTAACAGTAATTCTTGGAGATACTCCGTATAATACTTTAATAAAATAAAGAAAATCATCATATTTATATTGTTTTACTTCATACAAAAACATTCCTTCTATTCTTGTCATTCCTTCAAGTTCTATTTGAAATAATGGAGAACGTGCGGCAAGAATGAATGAATGTGCACGAATATATTTTCCTGGTTCATTTGGAAAATAAAGTATAGTATCAAAATATCTATTGTCATTTTCCATTATTTCTTTATAAATATTTCCTTTTAATTCCCAACCAATAGGAATATCTTCTGAATGAATATCTTTTTTTGTTTTTTGTTGTTGGTTAGCCATATAAATTAACGGATCAACTGGATTTTCTAATTCAATTGGTAATTCTATTAGTTTTTGTTGTTCTTTAAAGTTCTTTTGATTGTCTTCTTTAAAATCTTTACATGAAGTATTAAAATGTTTTTTTTGTATCATTTGATAAATACCAGTTGATGATAATTCATTAATATTAATTGTTACATCAACTGGTTTTTGAATATTAACAATATGTTCTTCAATTGGAGGAGATGAAATTAATTCATTTGAATTATTTTGAGAATTACGTTTATTATTTTCTATTTCTTCTGGTATTTCTTTTGTTTCAATATTGTCTGTTGTTGTTATTGAATTTAATAAATCAGCTAAGTTATTATAGTTTTGATTGGTATTATTTAACTCTTTTGGATTTTCTCTTCTTTGACTTCCATCTGGACTATTTAAATTGGAAGAAGAATAGGTTGAATGTGATGAACTTATTGGAAGTTCACTACTGTCATTATTTAATGAATTAATTTCATCAGTTAATATAACTATTGGAGGACTTCTTCCTTCGTTCATTGCATCAAGACATAGATTGGCATGTTGTTCAATTTGGTTTTGCGGAATCATTTGTCCACAAATTGGACATTCAATTAAATTGTTCATGAATTTTTTGTTTTTTAGTTACTTTTTATGTTTTTTAAATAACTCAACAAGTATAGTTTAATTATAGTAAAAGTATATCAAAAATAATATTAATTAGAACGACAAAGAAAAAATTCAGTGTTTTAGTGTTATTTCATTTCTAAAACAACGATTCTGTCGATTAAAAATCCTTCTCCATCACTTCCATTAATCATTGAATTATCAACTTCATAGACCATATTTAAAGAACAACAAACACTTTTTGGGATTGTTGTTTTTTGGATTGATAGCCATCCATTGTCTTCATCACCAAAATAACATAATTCATTTTTATTTGTTGAATGAACATACAGACCAACTAATTTATCTTTTTTAGGTAGAATTTGTAATGGTTGAAGTTGGTTTTTCTTTTTAAGACTAAACAGAAAATGGTTGGAGTCAATAATTAATGAATCAGTTTTTTGGATTGGTTTATTCATATATCCTCCAAAGATATTTCCTATTGAGTCAAATACTAATACTACAATATTTGAATGATTTAGTACTGACGAAGCAAAAGTTTCATTTGAATTTCCATTTGGTAATGAACTATCAAATAAAATCAAATGGTTTTTTAATCCACACCAAGTTTCAATATAATTAATTCCTTCAAATTGTTCTTCTGTTTGGTTGACATGTTGTGGATTTATGTGAATACTTTTTTCTTGTTGATTAATTGGTTGTTTTATATTTTGTTTATCTATTGGAACTATTGTTTTAATTGGTAATTTATTTATAGTGTGTGGTGGTTCAACTACTTTACAGATTGATTGAGCAAATTGAGGAGGAACAATTGTAGTAACTGATCCTGTGAATTTTGTTTCATCATACATGTCATACTCCTCTTCAATTTCATTTAATTCGTTTATATCTTTTGGAATTGAATTTGTATTTATTGTATTAGATATTTCAATTGGTTGTGTAATTTCTTTTTCGTTTATTTCAATATTTTTTCTTTCATTGACATTTTCTTTTTCATATTCTTCTTGTTCGATTGTAATATGACTATTACTAATTTGTTTTTTCTTTAATTCAAATTCATTTTTTATATTAGAATATTTTTGTTCAATGGTGTTTATTTCATTATTCTTTTTAGTTTCTTCTATTTCAATAAGTTTATCAATAAATGTGTTATAATACTCTTTTTCATCATTTTCTTTTTGTTCTAAATAGTTAATTTCATTTTGATATTGTAAAAGTATGTCTGTAAGTATTTTTATGGAATTTTTGTGAATATTTAATAGGTTTTCTTTTTCTTCAATCATTTCTTCTAATTCTTTTATTGCTTTTTCATATTCATTATACTCTTGTTGTGTTTTTATCATTTTTGAGTATATAGACATTTGAACTACTTCCTTTACATCTGAGTTATGTTCATTTAATTCTTTGATAATTAGTTTCATTTCTTTTTGAATTGACTCAATTGACTTATAATGGCTTTCACTCATCGTTATTTTATTATATTTTTTCGTTCTTTAAATTAAAATTTCTATTTTTGAAATTATCTATTTTAAGTTATATGAGAAAATAAAAACAAGTTTATTCTAGTTATTCTTCTTTTAATATTCATATTGTATAATAATTCAAAATGTTTATACATATTTAATCAATGTCTTTATTTATATTCATTTTTTAATTAAAATGAATAAGATATTCAAGAATAAACAAATGAATAAGAGAAAGAGTAATATAATATCTGTATTTAATATGTGAATACTATTAAAATAAAGTCAATAACTATTGTAATT